TCAAATTCAAACTAAAAATGTAGACTAGTAGTCCAAGACTACACAATTTAATTTTAATCTAAGCTGGCTCAGGAACGCATCATAATGTAGTTATCGCATAACAAATTCAAATAGCAGCAGCAATAACGCAAAGACGAATAATTACAAGTCAACAGAGCTGTTAGGAAATAATGCAGCATGCAAGTAGAGCCAGAAACAAATTCTGTCTTAAAATCCCAAAAATTTAGCTAAAAAACTATCTATGTGATTTTCATTCTGATGAGAAAACGGAAAGGGAAAATTATAGCAAAGGCTGAAATTATAAAAAAAATAGCTAATAATAATAACTGTATATATCTTTGAATAATAATTTTCAATTAAAAATTAAATACATTTAGAATGTAGGTGCTAATTTTATTTCTTTAGTAATATGAGCATTCAGAATAAATATAATATAATATATGGTTAGGGCCAGTTACAGAGCCAGTGTAGCAGAATTTAGGATCCACAGATAAGGTGGGAAAATGCGTAGCACCAGCCTTATGTATGTATGATGCACAAAGTTGTACCTAGGGTTTTCAGCGCCTGGGAACAACTGAAGATTTTGTGCCCCTTTCTGTATGCCAAGAATGAAGACCATTTTATTCTAAAATTTTTTGTAACATCAATTTGGCACACCATGGATGTTGTGCCCAGGGACAGATTCCCCCCTTGCTCCACCATGATGATACATTGAGACATACAGGATAAATCTTTTAAATTGTCAGTTTTCAATTTCTTTATTAATAGAAAAATTCATTTCTGTAAATGCCTGTCCATGTGATAAGATTAGAAGCATTTTTGATATTTTCCAGGCTTGAGTCTAGTGAATAGTAAAGAAAACAAAGGAAAGATAAACAGATATTAAGAAAAAGACTTCTAGTAACAGAAGTGAAACATTTAAATATTATGTTTTCATAATTCTTCCGAAAATTCTCCAAAAAGGAAACGTTCATCAAAAACTTTCTGTAAAATACATCCATTATGTGTTAATACCATGAAAAAATTTTTCTGGAATCTTTCAGATACGTGGGTCTATACATTTTACCTTCAAATCCTTTTAAACTTTCCAATGTGTAGTGTCTAAAATCCTAACGAAAAATTACCCCTACCAATTCTGTAATAGCAAAAAAAAAGGCAGAAGCAGAAACATGTTGGAAAAAAAAAAAAAAAAAAAAAAAAAAAAAAAAAAAACAGAGTGAAAAATTGTAAAATTAATTTTCTAGAGAAAACTGAAGCATATTGAGAAAATTACATGGGAAAAACTCTTACCATGAAAAAATTAAAACGAAGGCATTTTTGGTTATATAGCTATTTTGCTTTTGCTGAGAATTATTTCGTAATTTGTGCCAAAGTGCAATTTAAGCATTTATTACCTTGTTTATTTTTCAGATTTTAAATATTTTATAAGTTGCCAAAATGGAAAGCAATGTCACTTCATAATATGATGACAAAAAATAAAAATGTTTCATTTTAATGTTATTTCTTGAGTACAACTTCAATATATATTAGCATTATTTTAATGAAATTGTTTAACGTTATAATGTTTTAAAAAAATATCATCGAAAAATTCCAAAATTTTCTGTGACATTATCTTGTCTGTATAGAGAAAATTTTTTACCAAGGTTGTCGCATAAAAATACGACTGAAATTTCTTTCAAAATATTCACTATTTTATTACTTCTGTCAACCAATAAATTAGATAAAGGAAAAATACCCTTTTAAAAATATGAAAAATGGTAAATGAAATAGATTATAGTAAAATGAACTACCGTAATTTCGGGTAGCTAAGCTGCCCTGGAGTATATGCCACATACATAATAATTGACTGAAAAAAATCAAAGGTCATCGAATAAGCCACACCGCCGTATACGCCACAGCTAAGCATTCCGAAGTATGGCGATTAATATTCATTCATTCAGTAATTCCCTGCCATATTGGTGTAATCATCATTGATAACATTTTCAACATAAAAATAATCAGTAATATAATAAATAAAGAAGAAACATCTTACCTTGAACTTGCCAAAAACGAACTCTGATGATTTCTAATATATTCCTTTTTACATTTTCGGTAAACTCCGTTTATCAGCATAAATTACCACATTACGAAAAAGAATACATAAATTAGATGAACAAACAGAATTTTCTTATTAAATTAGACTACATTTATTTATACAAAAACTTCAAAATCCGACTTATCGAAGTCTGATTTAAATAAATTTAACAAATGACGATCAAGGTCAGTTTCATCATTCTGTTCTAAATCACTCCTTTCAACATCACCACTTTCATTTTCTTTTTCAATGATTTCCAATTTAATGAAAGCCGATACAATCATATCAGCTCGGACTGACCTTCACTTTCATTTTCTTTTTCAATGATTTCCAATTTAATGAAAGCCAATACGATCGTATCAGCTGAGACTGATTGCCATGCTTTATTGAACAATAAAGCAGCCTCCTCATACGAAGCTTTTCTCATTCGTCCGGAATTCGTGAAGGAATGGAATCCACTTTGCATCCAATCCTCCCACTGCTTTCATAGTTTGTGCTCGAAAGTTCTATTGATAGTGAGATCTAGCGGCTGTAAAATTTTTGTAAGTCCACATGGTATCACTGAGACATTGCTGCTAAGTTTTTTTTGCTTCAGATCTTACCGTATCCACTAAAAGGGATCGCATTGAATCCAAAGCAATGAGTTCTTGGGGTTGGAAAAAAGCACATTTTCTTTTCTGATAAATTTCTCTCAGCAAAAACAACATCACTTTTTCGCACATCCATCCTTTTTCGTTGGTACAAATAATAACTCGTTTTGGGAAGTTTCCTTTCGGAATTGTTTTTGTTTTGAAAATTATCAAAGGGCTTAACTTTTCTCCATTGGCGGCACAACCCAAAACACAAGTAAAAGAAGTCTTTTCGTTCCTGATTGTTAACAATAAAATAGTTTTTCCCCCTATTGAATGAATAGTTCTGCTCGGAGGACAGTTAAAAGTAACGGGCAATTCCTCCACATTAATTATTTGCCCTCTTTTCAAACTTTGAGCCCACCAGTGGCCGAGCAGTAAAGTCGCTGAACACTGGTAGTTCGGTCTGTTGTTTGAATCCCGCGAACGGGCTGGCTGCATGGGTGTTTTCGTGGTTTTCCCCATGTGTAACGTGTATATTAGCCAGTTTCCCTTAGAAAGTCATCTACAAAGGCATCTCTCCCTTTAGGCAGATAGCCCTCGAGGCTTTGCCATAATAACACACACACACTTTTTGAACTTTGTTCTTTAATTTTCTTAGATGTGTACTCCAAAAAAGCTATCTTTTTTTCAAGCCAGTCCACTGGAAGCTTTTGTCCAACTGTTGTTTTGGTCTGGACGGATAATTTCTTTCGCTTCATGAACCTGAAACACCAATTACGTCCTCCACAAAATTTTTAATGCCCATTTGTTGAGCAATTACCTTTGCTTTAAGGCGAATTCTAATTGTTGATACTGATAATCCACTTTCTCTCTGCTCTATTGTCCATTTCTCTAAATTGTCTTCCAAAAATAGCCAGGCTATGACACCAGTTCGACGAGATCTTTTATTCTTAGGCATTTTCTCTAATTCTTCTTGTTCAGACTTCCACCACCGAATGCATCACTCGTCAACTTGAAATTCTTTAGCCGCAGCGCAATTTCCAATTTCGAAGGCTTTCTTAACTGCCGAAAGCTGAAAAGCAGCTGTATAACTTTTTCTTCGAGTAGGAGCCATAACAATAATAATATTTTTAAAGCGCAAATGCTAAGGCAAACAAAAAGCAAGCTACAAAGCAGTAAAAACTTGTATGAATGAACACAGCACTTGGCAAGTAAACATAGCTGTTGCCAGTAAAACAAAAAGTCAAAGGAAAACGCGGGAAAAACCATGGAGTTTACAAGTATTACAGTGTCTTTACAGAGAGCACTACCTACCTTAGGGGAGTTTGGACTCATTGCATGGCCTTAACGCAGTCTGAGGTTAGAATATTGCAGCGAATTCTTACTGCCTCGCTTCTGCATTACTTACGATCTCAATTAGCTCAAAGTGTTAAGGACAGGAAAAAAAAAAAAAAATTTTTTTTCCTCAGATACGCCGCAAACCTAAATTTTCAACTTTTAAACATGTATAAGCTGCGGCTTATCTACCCGAAATTACAGTACAAGCAATTTCCCAAAATGACCGACACTAAGCAGGGGTTTGTTCTTTAAATAATGTATTAATTATCACTTACATGTAACATTAAATAGGTATTTTAAACCTCTTACAAATTTTAACTTATAAAAACTTGACAGCTTGAATCAAAAGCAGATAATTAGTTAAGCTACACCACTTCACTGTACGATTTTATGACTGCAATATGCGTATCTATACAAATTGCAATTTTTTTTTATTCCATTTAAGCTATTTGCACTGCTCTAATATTCATTTTTGAAGGACTTTTTATTAAGCATTTTCGAAAAATTAACATTTCTCTAATTTACTCAAATTAACATTCTAAACGTACATTAATCTACTCAAACGCAATGAAATTCAATCAAATTTTTACTTGATAAGCAATTAAAATCAGTAATATGCACAAAACTAGCAGCAAGGTAATAGGGACCTCCCTATTCTGTTTTTGGTTTCCTAGGAAAGCCATTAGTTAAGTGAAATGACTTGTTGATCACCCTAGAAAGAAGGAGGAAAGAAATCTTACAATAGCTGTTTTCAGAACCATTTTAGTTTCAGCTAAGTGAAAAATTTTTGCTAACATGGTTCTTTATTACTGCAGTTTTTGGAATGTAAATAGAATCGAATGCGGGTGGTTCAGAGGGTTAACATTGTCACCAGCAGGCAAGCCCACCAGATGATCAGGCTGTACCCAAAGCAAAATTTATAAGTTCTATATACACTTGAAAAGAAAATATATAAAAACATTTCAATACGAATGAAATCAGCACTATACATTTTAACAGTAATAAATGGCCACATGAGTCCATAAAAAATTTTACTCTAACCCTGTTTAAGACAGATGGATGGCAATTTTAAAATTCCATCTATTACACTCTTCCATGCACTTTCCACCGAACAGCAACAGTGAAAAAAACACCTGCAGGATGTGAAAATTAGCATTTTCAGAGTTTTTAATTAATATATTGGATAATTTCAGAGTTTTTAATTAATTAAGTAATACAAAGATGAGAATGACTGAAAAGGCTTCCCACAAAATTTTGGAATCCGGGATACCTCTCTGGAAAAACTCAACTCCCTGATGTTCCAGATGAGATGATGTTTTACAAACAGACAGACGTGCACAGATTTTAAGAGTATACATGAGCTTCTTATCACCTACAAGTGTCACCTTTAATTTTTCACTTCAGTAATTATGGCTGATAAGTCATAAATTTATTATTATGACCTGCAAGAGGTTGAGGGAAATGCTTGGAAAGAAACCCCATGAGAAGATATCTACACAATCCAAACAGCAGAAGTCCACAAGCAAATGATGATGACTTGTTTCTAGAATAGGAAGATACAGATATGTACAGTTGATTTTATTTTATACAGATGATAATAAATAACTACCTACCCAAAAGACAGACTATAAATAGCACTTACTATGGTGAAATGATTGGCCAGCAGTGTCAATCCTCGAAGGATAGATTGCCATTCAAACTCAAGTGCATAACAATGCAACCGCACACACAAAATCACTGCCTAAACTGCCATTCCTGATGCTGCATTTAAACTACTCAGTTACCCACCCTATTCGCAAGGTACGATCCCATGGGCTACAACGTGCTTTTGAACAGGAAGAAGTATTTTTACAGTCAAAGCTTTGAGTCAAATGATTAAGAGATTGCTTTCATTTAAGCATTCTAGATGACAAAAAGGAGTTGTTTTCTGCTGCTGGTACTGATTGTTTTGCCAGAATGATAGCAATATGATATTGATAACCATGGAGAGTATGCAGAATTCCCAACAATGTGAAAACTTGTTAGATTGCCAATGGCTGCTTGCTTTACACAGAATTTCATGAATTTTTTGACAACTTGGTAAAGCTAGAAAAAAATTAGCTGCTCTATAACAAAATTATACTCCTTCTCAAGATTACAAACTACTGAATCAAAATAAACTTAATTTTTAAACCTTAAATAAAAAGGCAAAGTAATAACAATATTACAAGGGCTAAATAATACCAAACTGATTTTGATACGCGACAAGAATTGAAACAGCATAAAAAATAACTTATATATCTAAATGAAACAATGAGATATTAAAACATAGGAAATAGCATACTGGTATCATATACTTCTTATATTTCTCAAAGACTTCATTATTCTTTTCTTCACTTTCATGATATTTTTCTCCATTAACAAGAGCTAGAAGCATTTTCCTCCTTAGAGTTAAGGCAAGTTGAGATTTTAAGTCTTGAACTGGAGTCTATAAAAAACATTACAAATAAAAACATTATAATTACCAATATTATTTCTAAAATAACCATATGCACAGATAAGAAAGGAAAGAAAAGATATAAAACCTTCTTAATAGTTTAGTAATAAATGTACCTGTATCTCCAAAAAGTATTTAAATAAATGCATATAAGTTGTGCACAAATTCAGACAACAAACAACTTAACTGTTTTTATTTCCCCCAAAATGGGACCAAACTTAAATTGGTTCCCTGAGTGGAGCTATTTTAAAGAACATTTTCTCATCCTATGTGAAATGAGTTAAGATGTAATAAATGGATTACAGTGATGACCGTAAAGAAAATAAATATCTGCCTAAGAAAGTTGCTTCATATAGATGATATCTGGAAAGCAGCTGAGTAATTAAAATAGAAAACACCAATAATACACTTAGGCAAAATAGCATAGATTTTAACAAAGACAGTCGATTTCAAAGGGAAACAGACACAGAAACTTCTTCATGAGGGGTAAATAAATCGTGCAATGAAGGTAGAAGCCACAGACGTATTTATATATTAAAAAAAAAAGGGGGAAGTAAAGCAAAAGAGAAGGTACAACCATCTGTCCACAAAAATAGTAATAGGAAAAATTAAATTAATAGAATTTTAAAAGCATTAGGGTAGATCGGTTTGGAATTAAAGTCATTAACTAAACAAGATAAATTTTTGAAAATGTGAAAATGTTCAAGGAAATCCAGTTCACAAACTAAAGAAGCTTTATGAATAATTTTTGCAGACCCAAATTTAAAACATCATTAAGATTCCAACTATGATTTGCTAATAAAGATTTATTTTTTTTTTCTTTTCAGACATAAGATTCATTCTTTTAGTTTGGCTGAACTGACATATTTCAAACCACACTGCCAAGATACACTATAAATTCCCCAAGAAATGGAATCTTTAAGAATTGAACCATGGATTTTTTTGATAGCTGAGAAAACAACCTGTGGAGAATCTATGCAATTTTGTAACTGACAGAAGAATGAAATGGAAAAACAACAAGGTAATTACTACTATGTCTAATATTGGAATGTCTAGTTTGAATAGCAAAATGAAAATTTTTATAAATTTTATAAAGTCTTTATAAATGGCCATGGGAGAAAATCCGTGTCATTGGCAAAATGATTTCAAATATTTCAGTTCATCAGAAAGAAAAGATTCTGAGGATCAAACTTTGAAACAGCAAAATATATAACAGTTAAAAGAAGCCATTTTTTGCTTAGTCGGGTAACAGTAGTACTACATACCTAAACAAGAAAGCCATGATTTACAATACTATATGAAGGAGCTACAAAAATCTTCAGGTACAAGCAGGATTTTCTGACAATATGAATGTAATTAGCGTTTGATTTCATTAACCAGTGAGTTTAGCAAGCAGCAGATACTGTAATTTATGAATTTTCAAATATCAAAAATGCATTAATAATATTTACATGTATCGATTTTTACAGAGGGTATAATCCAATAGTCACACAAAATCTTCACTCACAAGGACAAGAAATAGTTTCCATTCTTAGATGATGCCACTAATATAACAAGCTGGCTATGTACGAATACTAAAACCTACTGCTATTTTCTAGAACGTGAATTCTGCTCCAAGGATTATTTCACAAAAAAAAAAAAAAAAGTCGAAGTGTGCACTCAGTGCTTCTAAGCAATTGTATAATCTATATAGTATGTATGTTAGCTAAAAAGGAACATCAAAAATCAATACTGCGAAGTGAACACTGACAGACAGTATAATCAACGTGCATAAGAAGCCACATGATGATATTCAATGAAATTTGATATGAACAGTATCTGATGGATATAACTATTTTAAATGTTGTAAAATGTCTGTGAGAAACTGATAGCATGCAAAATTGTCCTTAATCAGGAAACTTAAGAGCTAGATATAATAGACAGGTCAAAGTTCTTCAGTATGCTCTTGCTAATTGCTAGCCTAGTATCAAAATGAAGCAATTGGAAAACTAAAATTCAGTGCGTGCCAAATTGTACATAAATATCAGTCATGTTCGTTTCACTCAAGAACTGTTCAAGAATTTATGCTTGGAGACAAAGCCTGAGGATTTGATTATAAGAATTTTATTTTAAAGAAGTTATTTGAAGAAGTGACAATTCATCCTTTACGACATAAATTCTTTGGATGGATGAATGACAGTTTTCTAACACTGGCATAATAAACTTGCATAATAGTCACTTATGGACTTCTACAATCAACACTTTATAAATAACAACAAAAGGGGACACAGGACCTTTTTGCTCGTCGCAACGATCATAAAAATACTCACTCGAAACACAAAAACTCGTATGATTAAAAGGTTATACATTTTTTTACTTTACACTTTACATAGATATGCCTTATTATACTGTGTGTGAAATGAAAATTGTAAATAAATAAATAACTTGTAAATTAAAAATTTAAAAATGTACATAAGAGATGTAAATAAAAATTATCAAATGTTACACACATCATAATTTTGAAAACATTGCATATAAAAAACAATTTTTGGTAAAAATGCATTTGAAATACATTAGCCTCTAATGTAAAACCAAAATATATTATAAAATGAATGCTAAATTTTAAAAATTCAGAAATAAATTTTTTAATTTAAAATTATGTCATTTTTTTAATCATTTTTTAAAGGTAAACATATGTAATTTTTTTTTGGTTTTAGCATGCAGAGTAACAACAGCAGCATACACAGTTAAATTTTTATGGGCATAGAATATATGGTTTGATAATAGCACTGAGCGCAAACTTGAAACTTACCAATTTGAGAAAATGCAATTTAAATATACAATATCACTTTTCTCCAATTTATATTTTTCAAAACAAATTTAAAATGCACCAGAAGAATAGACTACTCCTTCATTTTGTTTATGAAGCGCATCAGCTTCCTTTTTTCCCCTTCTTATGGTAATTCAAGTCTCGAAAGTATTGTCCTGGGCTCGTTTCTGTGCGACTTTAATATGAATTCTATTTGCTTCTTCCACAAATGCTACACAGTTAGAATGTATAACTGAGGTATACATTCTAATTCTTTAATGATGAACAGCGTTGCCTGTTTTCCATCATTAAAGCTGGGTACAGCTAAATTTGCAGAAATTTCTACAATTTTCCTACTAGTGTTTGTTGTTTTCTGTCCAGATCAAAGAATTTAGTGACTCATTCACATTTTGTATTACCACCAATGCATCTCTTTAGCAAGTCTAGGTGGGACAAATCTTCAAATACGGGTTTTATAGCATCAATAACTGCTATAGGAACTCAATTTGTGTGTTTAAAGTTTTCATTTGTTTCATTTACAACTGCTCTTTTGTATGCGCACCAAGAATCAACATCATCGAGGTAAAAGTCATGAGTTGCTTCATTATCATTTGAACATTTATGATACCAAATAGCCTATATAGCTTTTTGTACATCGTGGTAATTGTCAAAATGCTTCCTAATGGCATTACCATAATATGTTGTAAGTTGATCTATCAACACATCTGTAAGTCGACCTTTATCGCTAAGAGGTTTCTTGTCATACAAGTTTCTTGCCCTGGAATTCTTGTTTTAGTTTCCTCAAACGGGCACCCATTCGTTTTTAAATATGGCCCACACATTCTATCTTCGAAATCAGAACATTATACGAGTTATCTTTCGTAAAGGCTAAGAAAGTTTTACAATCTCCATCACCAATATAATTAACGTAATGAACGTCATATTTTTCTTCGGATCACGAAAACATACTCAACGTACCATTCACTTCCATTTGTGCAGATGAGCGTGAATGATTCTTTTTGCATACTTTGTTATGTTCCATTTTCCATTTCAAATAGCTTTCGTTTGAGGATATATTTTTTCCAGTCTCACAACCTTTGCAGAAGGAACTTGAAACATAACTTTACCCATTTCATCACCAATAATGGAAATGTGAAGAATGTCCTCTGGTTTTCCAAGTGCCATCTTCGCTGAAGGTCAAATCTGAAGAACCAGTCACTTTTATTTCTTCGCCAACTGCTATCTTCATACTATTTTCCGCAATATTACATGTATCAGCCTGCATACGACTTACAATTTTGTTGTATGACTTCTGTGTTACAGGTGGTGGTAGATCCATAATTCCACAAAATGTGCTGGATTCTGTCAATCCTTTTCCAATATACCTCATTGCTAAAGTAAATCTTCTGTTTAAATCAGAAGTTTTTTGTTTTTCATCTACAAGTTTGGAATTTCTTACAGATGTTAAGTACTCCAAAAGAGCAGCATGAAATATTTATTTTTATGGTTAAACCATATACTACTTCAGAAGTAATACTCATTTTATTATCGCAAATATGACAGCATAAGTATTCTTCTAATCCAGAAAATAATAAACTTTTATCAATGATTGCATACCCTTCAAATTTGCTGTCACCAGATACTACTAAATGATCTAGAAGTTTTTTTGCTGATGCAGAGACATTTGAATCTTTATCATTACTTCTTGTGTACTGATTTCCAAAAAAAAATTATTCCTTTTCCTTTTCTTCGGTCTTGACCTGAAGCTCTTTTGATATTATTATTCATTTTAAAATTTCAAAACAAATATCTTTACATAAACATTTACTCTTTAAAACAAACTTGGTATGAAAGACCGAAATTGAAAAGTGTGGAAATAAGAATTATCATGTAAACAAACTACCAGCAGTGAAGTTGAGTACTTGCCATCCTTCTTCCCCTCTGAGGAAAAAACTTTTTTTTAAATAAATAAATAAATAAAAAATAAAAAAAAACAGTATTAAATATTTTTGTGTATAATAATAAAAATATGAGCTCATATACAGCGTAACCAAAATGTAAACAACCACAATATTTGTCCCTTTAAACGAGCGTCGCTGGTTTTACTATCTGATATAAACTTTCATAACTCACGAATAATGCGAACTTTACAACGCGATTTTTTGCATTTTGTTCAGAAATGTTTATATATTCATAAAATATAAAAATCTGAAAATCAATTTTTTGAAGATTTATAGGTCCTGTGCCCCCTTAGTGTGCTGGAGTATAAATGTAGCGTGGGTTATGAAACAAAACACAGATTGGAACTTTCATTTTTGATAGCACTGTAAAAGTACAGACATATTTTAAATGGACCATTGTCTGACTTCTTAGATGATAATGTCTCATTCAAATATCTGTCAGCTATGCAGTTACAGTATATGGAGGTGCTCCAACTCATAAATTCACAATGCCACACAGTTTTTTAAGAAGTACATTTGTGAACTAACATTATTTAGACAGGGTTCGTACACATTTCTGCACATGGAAATTAAGTACTTTTAAGGACCATTAATGAAAAAAATTAAGGACCTATGAGCAAATGGGAACTGAATAAATTCAATTAAAAATATTATCAATGCCTGAATTTCACTTTTGTAATACCATCCTAAAAATAAAATAGATCTGCAAGTAGTGTGCATTATTACTAAACATGAATTAATTAACATAATTATTAATAAGTTAGAGAATAAAATACACTTTATGCAATTCATCAAGTAGCATTAAATATTTTACACTTATAACAGTTGAACATATTTGAAAGAAGATAAGTGACATTTACGTTTTACTAGCTTTATGTTGATTTTTTAATGTCTCATTTTGTCACATACACTCACGCTAGTTTCTGCGTGTTTTATCTCCTAACTTGTCAACCTCTACACAATATACCTATGAGGGTTTACTTGATCTGGTAAAAGTTAAATAATCCCAAGCCCCCGACAGACATGAAGCAAATTATCGCTATGTCTGAAAGTAACTAGAATATCAGACAAAGGCTTAAATAAGCCTCTTTTTTTAAAAGAACTTAGAACATAAAGGTATGTTCTAATGCTAACAAAATCAACTACAGCTCACGGTGACGTAATTAAACAAGAACAGTCAAATTCAAACTAAAAATGTGAACTAGTGGTCAAAGATTATACAATTTAATTTTAATTTAATCTGCCTCAGTAACTCTATCATATGAAGAAATAGAAAAGGGACATTATAGTAAAGGCTGAAATCATAAACATTTGGGTAATTTACATAATAATAACTGCACATATTTTTGAAGAATAATTTTCTTTATGTATTCAGTTTCTTTCTACAAAGTTTTCTTTTCATTTTAGGATTTAATTAAGGATTTGTGTTATTCTAAAAAACATTGAATGCATTTAGAATGCATTAAAAAAAGTGGCTAATTTTATTTCTTTAGTAATATGAACATTCTGAAGAAATATGAAATATATATGGTAAAGGAAGGTTACAGAGCTGGTGCTCAAAATTTTTAGAATTTAGTGACACACCGAACAACAAAATTTAGAAATGGCAAAACTTTTAGAATTTAGAGCACGCACTGGAAACAGAATTTAGAAAGACACTAGGCAGCAGAATTTAGGATCCACAGAGATTATATCAGGTGGGAAAATGCCTAGTGCCAGCTCTGTGTATGATGTATTAGGACACATTAGATGAATCTTTTAAATTATAAGTTTCTCAATTTCTTTATTAATAAAAAAATCCCTTTCTATAATGCCTGCCCATGTGATAAGATTAGAAGCATTTTTGATGTTTTCTATGTTTGTGCCAAGTGAAAAGTAGAGAAAATAAAGGAAAGATAAACATGTTAAGAAAAAGATTCTAGTATCAGGAGTAAAACATTCAAATATTATATTTTCATAGTTCTTCCAGACATTCTCCAAAAAGTAAGAAATTCATCGCTAACTTTCTGTTAAATACATCCATTATGTGTTGATACCATAGAGACATTATTTTTTTTTGTCACATATTTCTCGAATCTTCTAGAATCATAGGTCTATAAATCTTACCTTCAAATCCTTCTAAACTTTCCAAGCTGCAATGCCTAAAATACTAAAGAAAAATTATCCCTACCAATTCTGTAACAGCAAAAAGCCAGAAATATTTTGGAAAAAAAAAAGGGGGGGAAACTGTAAAATTAATTTTATAGAGAAAACTGATGCATATTCTGAGAATTTTGAATATTCTGAGACAATTACATGAGAAAAACGCTTACTATGAAAAAATTAAAAAGAGGATATTTTTAATTAATTGCATAGCTAATTTTGCTTTTGCTAAGTGCTGTTTGCTGTAAAGCATGCTTTATAGCATTATACCTTGTTTATTTTTCAAATTCAAAATATTGTATAATAAGTGGCCAAAATGAAACTTTAAAATATGACAGCAAAAAATAAAAATGTTTTATTTTAATGTTATTTTTAAATATAATTTCAATATATTACCATTATTTTAATGAAATTTATCAATGTTACAATGTATTAAAAAAAATCGTCGAAAAATTCTCAGATCTCGGAATTAAAAAGTTTCTATAGAAACTGATCTTAAAATCGCCAAAATGTTGATAAGTTGCCAAATTTAGAACCATTTAATAAAAGAATTCACATCCTCAAAAGT